ATATATATATATATATATATATATATATATATATATATATATATATATATATATATATATATATATATATATAGTACAATCTGCAGACATGCATGTTTTGGCGTTCAACGCCTCGTCAGTGCAGCTTGGTACACGTCTAGATACGTATATATAATACGAGTACCGGATACATATGTTAATAATTTTCCGAAAATAGTACTTTCTAGATTGTTCACATTGTTCATATTTTTCTACATTGTTCATTTGGGACAAAACAAGTTTCAAACTTTTTTTCATCAGTGTGATTCTAGAAACAAATTCGGGTCTTCAAATTTTTTAATAATCTATAAGAATAAAATTTGGAGCGCGTATAGTTTTCAATATCCCGTCCAAAAACATTTGCATTTCTGTAGTCGATTATACCTAATAAGGCAAACGTTTGGTTTGAGCTAAGTACCTGTCTATAACAAGTCGTTTAGGCCCAGTTTAGACGGCGAACTTTTCGTGCGCCGAATCTAATGCAAGGATTAAGTGCGACGCTGGAGCGACGTCTAAATCAATTCAGTTCGGCAGGTTTTGATTAAGTTCGACACGACTCGAAGATGCGACAAGGCAAGTCGTACATGCGACACAGGTTCGACATTGATTTAGACGCCGGGCTTTCCATGCGCCGAACCCAATACATAATTAATTTTTAACATTATAATATGATTATCATATATATTAACATTGTAAATATATCAAATATAGTGTCCTCGCAGTTTGGTACAGTACAATTAAGTTCGACGTCTAAATCAGTTTCCTATATTTTGCCGTATCTACGACAATTAGATTCGGCGCATGAAAAGTTCGCTGTCAAAACCGGACCTAATTTACAACAGATGGCAAAATGGTAAATAAGTCAAGTAACGTAGATCGTAGTTCAGTCCCAGACTCTCTTCTGGCCGCCCGGCGCGGCTGAGATGGAGGGTCCAGAAACATTTGCATGCGCCTGCGTCAACATGTCCAATCAAAACGCTCGCGTTTGACTTAGGAAAAAAGGAAGACCCTTGCACCTGTTCAACGCGCACCAAAAACGGAAATAACTCAAAGAAGTATAAAATGTCAACCGACGTTCGATGCCGAATATGGGCGAGGACGTCTGTCCGCCCGCTAGGAGAAATGTACTGTTTAGTGCAGAAAGTGATTATACACCAAAGCGATTCTCTTTTTTAAGGCATATAGTTTGTCGATAAGACGAGATAAGCCTGAAATAAACTGTCTCGCCGTTGCTGCCAAAATTGCAGAAATAATGCAAATAGAGCCGTACCGCAAAATTAAACGCTATAAAGAAAATATTAGCCCCCGAAAGAAAAGAAAAACAATACAAGGCTCGCCAAATTAGATTAGATATCTATCATCGGGAACAGCGTCTGTGACGAAGGAAATAGTCGATTTTCAGCCAGACATTTAAAGTGGCGCACTGGCGCTCGCGTCAAAATTTTTATTTTCTTATTTCTTAAAACTGTATATAAGTAACTTGTTTTGAAGATTTTTGTTCCCATGGTTAGTTTTTGAGATATTTTATTTTAATTTGTTTGTAACCATGTAACAATGACTCAATTACATATATAATGAGATATCAGTAATTGTTGTGTATCTTTGCTATTCTTTATCAAATCTTTTCCAAGATGCGGCGCGTTTCTTAACTTAACCTACATCATATCATGATTAAGAGAGTCAAGCGATTTAGACAAATCTAAGAAAACGCCAATAGTATTTCGTTTCGGTCCATGACAGTTTCAGTTTTGTTTATCAGATGAGTAAGAGCACAATTGGTTGAAGGATTTGAGCGGAAGCCAAATTGATGGCGACAAAAAATTTCAAGCTTATCAATAAATTGTACCAAACGATTACACAGGACTTTTCATAGATATTTGAGAATCTCGATAGGATGAAAATTGGTCTATAATTTGTGAAAATATCTGCTTTGCCAGTCTTGAAAATAAGATTATATATTTTGACAGTTTTGTTTGTGGAAACACCACGTAAATTTATTACTGGAAAGCGGTTCGATCCGTAAGCCCGGATTTCATTAATATCCGAACCATTAAAACA